ACTTAGTGAACGTCCAAGGGGAACAATAGGAAAGGCGGGGACAGCAGGAAATGAGAAAAGAAGAAACACATGGAATCAGATAGGGAGGTGGCAACAGCCAGCAGGGAAGAACCAGATGGACTCAGGGTGTCACTATGATAAAAGGAAGAGGCTTGGATTAATAAAGAAAAATGACTATAAAGCCCATCTGAATCTGAGTTTCTATTTGTCTCAGGCCTACAAAGTCTAGAATCTTAGAAGGCTTCCTCTACAGTTGTGAATCAGGATGTACGTGTTCTTTTCCATATGAATTAACCTATAGAAGAAAATTTGAGACTGGGGAGATGAATCACCATGTAATGTGCTTGCCATGTAAAGGTGGAAGGGAAGAACTGACTCCACAATGGTTATGCATAAAGTAAATTCACATTTTTTGAAAAGGAATCACAGCTTGCATGGAAGGTGCTGAGATCAAAGACAAGATGGGTTTGTGACTATGACTGGCTGGCCCTGTGTCCTGAGTGTGCTACCTGGTCCCCCTGAATCTCAATGCCCTCATATGGAAAATCAGGCTAATCACATCCACATCAGGAGTTCAAGTGAGATAGCCAAAGTGGAAACTTTTGCATGGGCATGGCACCTGGATGTGATTACTGTCTGTGTGTCTCCTCCTGGCTTTGCCCAACCTAAAGACAATTTAGTCACTATAGGCTGTCTCATCTGCATACAGAGCAAGGACTTCTTTGTGTTTTGTGCTTTGGGCACACAGAAGTCAGATGGGTTCACACACTCATGATTTCCAGTTTCCTTGGCTGTTTTCCCAGTCGGCTATGTCAATCAGTATGTGTTCACAGCAGTCACCAGCAGAGCCTCATCTCACAGAGTGTATAACACAAAGACCGGATCCTGGGATGCAGGTCAGTCTGCAGAGAAGCCAACTCCTCCCTCCATTCACTAAGGTAGGAAATGGAGCATGGCAAGAGAGAAAATGCCTGTTACTTTTAGCTTCAGACATGGCATGCATACAGGAATAAAATGACCAAAATAATCTCTGTGTCTATTTTTAAATTAGTGCTCAGCTCTGACCAGAATGTAAGAGAGGAAAAAAGGCTCACAACTGATTCCTTTTCTTAACATTGTCCAGCAGGGTTGGCTCTATTCTCATTTTTACTTCAGTCTACTCCCCAAAGGACAAACCCAAGCATCAAGAGAATTTTTAACTGTTTTTGCCTCTCTCCAATTTCTTGTGTATCATTTCTCTTTCCCCAAATCAGTCATACCAACAAAAAAAGGATGTGGAGGATTTCAAGACTAATTTCAGAAGCTAGTTTGAAACCTCATTAATCCCAGTGGTCTGGTAGAAAAATCTGTTCTGGCTACTGTTTTAAAATGGGAGGTATATATATATATATATATATATATATATATATATATTCCTCTCTCTCATCTTGACTTTTCTTATCTGCAGTTTGTTTTTGTTTTCTTTTGCAAAACGTTTCACCTCTCTCCAAGAAGACATTAGGATCTGTGCAGGGTCACATAGTTGTGTGTTAAAACAGAATATGAAGAGATAGTGCTGATATTATGGGGTGGAAAGAAACTGCTCCAGGACTGGGCAGTTGGGGCAGGAGATGAGAGTGCTTTTCTTCTGTAACTGAAGTAGAGTGTGAATTACAGGGCTTGGGGAAGGTGATTTTGTCAGTAACCTGCCTGGCATTCACGTGTGAGGAGATGAATTTGGATTCCCAGCACCCAAGTTAAAAGCTGGGCATGCATAACACATTGCAGTTCCAGACCTGGGAAGGCAGAGATGGGTAGATCCCTGGACTTCTCTGGCTAGCATTCCTAACTAAATCATTGAACTCCAGGTTCAGAAGAGACCCTGCCTCAAAAAATAAGATGGAGAGCAATTAAGGAAGACACGAAACCTTGACCTCTAGCACACACACACACACACACACACACACATAAACACACACACACACACACATGAATACACATATCACACAATGCACTTCAGAAATTAATCAATAAATCAATTAATAAACAAATAGAAAACAGGCTTGAATCCAGAGTACCTTGCTTTGCTTACAGTAGCTTCACGTGGTTCTCAAACATTTTAAGTGTGCAGCTGAGAGGACTGAATTTTATATTGCATTTAATTTTAATTAAAACATAAACTAAATTCAGTTTCTAGAAAATCAGTATGATTAAAATTACTTGAATATATAAGCTTACTTTTTAACTGTAAATTTTGTGAATTTTGAGTATATATAAATATAAATTTAAATATAGATGAAAATTTATCATCAGAATTGATGAACTCTGAGAACAGAATACACACCAGAGTTTTGAAGACATAGGACACATTTTGGGTACTTTTGATGTTAATCAAACATATTGGGTTGATGTTATTTGTTTTTGTTTTTAATGTAGCTACTAGAAAAGTTAAATGTTGGGGAGCCCTTTTGAGGGCCTTACCCTGCCTGGGGAGAGATGGGGGGATGGCTAGGGGCAGCTGGGATGTTGGGGGGGGGGAGAAGAAGAAGGGATTGACATGTGAAACAAGCTTGTTCTTAATTTGAACTAATAGAAAAAAAAAGAAAAGTTAAATGTATGTACTTGTTTATATTTCTATTGGTCTCTACTTTCCTGGTACAGAGAATACTTGGGTTAGAATTCCATGTCTTTCCTTTTCTAGCTCTAAGATGGGAATCAAAGGCGTTTTCTAGTTCTTTGATGAAGCCCTGCCTGACAGTCCCTACTGCATAGACTCCACGTGAGATGTGACTGATTTCATAAGCAGGCAATCCATGAAGCATCCCTGACACCTGGTGTGCTCAACATATGCTATTATTATAGTTTGAAGTTTATATTTATCATGCTATGGGGAGAGCAAGAAACTGCAAGAGACTTAAATGTCAGAATTTGTCTCCTTCTTAGGAAAGTCTTGCAGCAAATGTCCATTCCTTCCCGTTAGATTCTAGATGGACGGCAGATGCCTAAAGCCTGTCCTCACGATGAGCTGCTCCACTTCAGGTCACTGCTTGCCGTTGCTTAAGAGTCTCTTCTTAATCACCTTCTTAAGAATCTCTAAAACCCACAGCTAACAGGTGGGTGTCCAGATTTAATTTAGAAAAGCACTCCAGTAAAAAAAAAAAAAAAAAAAAAAAAAAAAAATGTGGCACCAAGCCAGGAGAGTAATGTGCTCTGACACTGCCTGATTTGTATTTATCTGATGGGGTTGGTTCCCCATCAGTTAAATGTAGATAATAGGAGATAAATGTGAGGATTTAATAAGCAGCATGGCAGATAGAGCTCTATAAGCCACACAGTGCCATGCCTATGCCAATATGCCCTCCTTTGAGACCCACTGCAGCAGGATGGGCCACGCTTCCCCCACGCCCAGAACATACAGTTGCTTCATGGGAGTATCCCTAAGGACCTTCACTCTGCGCTACTTTCCTTGCAAACTTGTCTGTGACTAAACAGCCAACCCCTACGGTGCAAAACCATCTAAAATTCCTTTCTAAAGAAATACAAAAAAAAAAAATCAGCACTTATGAAATAAACTAGTAAATCAAGCAGTTGTTCACACATCAGCTCATTCTGTCCAGTCAGGCACCTTGCAAGTCTTTGAGGAAATCAGTCACCAATCAGGTAAGATTTCTTCATTATTATTCTGAAAAGTGTAAATTTACATAGTAGATAGTATGCAATAAGGATGTGGGCTGGGGGTATGTGGTAAGACTCAGATTAGGTGGTCACACTACGTCTCTTTGAGAAGGTAACATTGAAGCAACCTATGAATTACAGAGATGAATAGAAGCAGTGTTTCTAGATTCAGGGGAAGGTACACAGTACTAACGGAACTGGATTGTTCCCTTTAGCTAACTGTATGCAAGTTCACTTCACTGAAGTAGTAAACTTGATCTTACATGATTTCTCCAAAAGCTATCTCAAAAAGGCATTATTCTTTTTTTTAATTAGAAACAAGATTGTTTTACATGTCAATCCCAGTTTCCTCTCCCTCCCCTCCTCCCCTACCATCCCCCCAACCAAAACCCTACCTATCTCATATCCTTTCTCCTCCCCAGGAGGGTGAGGCGTTCCATATCCTTTGGGATAGGGCCTAGGCCCACCCCTGTGGGTCTTGGCTCAGGGAGAATTCCTCTATGTGGATTGGGCTCCCAAAGTCCACACCTATGAAAAAGGCATTATTCTTGACTAATGAAAAATGACTTGTCCCCACAAAATTTATAACATGGGACTTATGAAAACATGACCAGCATAATACACATCACTGCGTAAATACTCTTGAGCATATTTTTTAAAAAGAAGAAAGCAAACATGGATGGGAAATACCATAGGAAAGACGGTCACACAAAAATCCAAGCATTTCAAAGGACAGAATTCACAGAAATTAGACTCCCAGCTTTAAAAAGAATGCTAGGTGGATTAAAACCCACTGTAGGCATTATGGTGTTTACAAAAGACACACTGAGGGTATTATAATACTGAATAACAGGAAAGCAAAGAATGTGAGCATATGTATGAGTCAGACACTAAGCACAAAAAAAAAAAAACAGTTAGGTCAGTTATATTAATATTCGTCAGAGAAGATAATAAGACAAATAGTGTCATTAAGGACAGAGCTGCTATACAATGATTAAACATTAAAGTCACCAAGGCAACATAGAAATTCTAAGCACGTATGCACCTCATTGTTAAAATTAACAGCTCTAAGCAAAACTTGACAGTTCTCCACGAACAAATGACAAACCTACTCTGATAGTTGGAAATTACAAAACACTTCCTTCAGTAACTAAAGTTTCACATAGCCAAAAAAAGCAAAAAAGTAGAAAAGTTGAACAACATAATGTCCTGATAAATACTTAGAAGTACTTAGCACATTTTCAATAAGTCTACAAAGGTTATCAGCGAACTGTTTTCCTTTGTATTCTAATAAAATGTGACAGCCAAAAGCAACACAGGGAAGGAGTGGGTTTATTTTTACTCACAGTCCCAGGAGCGTGGATTTCAACACCACAGGGAAGGCGTAGCAGCCGACAGGGAAGGCATTATGGTTGGTCGCCACGTAGGGCATGAATCTGGCCAATTTCAGTTCTTGCTCATACAGGAAATAGCGGAAGAGTGAGACAGCCTGTCCCAGTGGTACACTTCATCCAATAAGGTTTCTTCAGAAAGTTCCACCTCCTAACACTACCAGAACCTTCCGAACCGCCAGTTGTATATTCAAACAACATAGTTATCATATGAATCATCGCTTTCTAAATTCTAGGAATTTACTATGAAAAGGAAAAATAAGATACAATTTAAATTATAGAAACTTAAAAATTGTTTCTCATACTTAATAAACTAAAAGAAATAGAAATTAAAAAGCATACATAATTTTTAAAAAATAATAAATGCCATGCCACTTGAACATCTGAGATTATGGAATATGTTATCTGTTTAGCATTTCTTTTTTGTTTTGTTTTTGTTGTTTGTTTGTTTGTTTGTTTGTTTTGGTTTTTCAAGACAGGGCTTCTCTGTGTAGCTTTGGAGTCTGTCCTGGAACTTACTATATGTAGACCAGGCTGGCAACAGACTTGCAGACATCCACCTGCCTCTGCCTCCCAAGTGCTGGGATTAAAGGCGTGGGCCACCACCTCTGGGCTATACTTGGCTTTTCTTAAATGGTAAGGTTACTTATAATAGAGTTTGGTGCTCTGCCACTTTCAAGCTAATGTTACATCATAGGCATTCTGCCACACCATTGTTACTATCTTTTATCTAGGAATAGCTCTCCAGTCCCTATGTTTCTTTCTCCTTCAGCTAGAAATCAAAGGCCCTCTTCCAAATATAAATTAAATTCATGTCAGTAAGACACCTACAGACCAAGGCTCCCAGAAAATCAGAGTTCCTTTTTAGGCGCAGTCTGGGTCAACCCTCTGAACAATATATTCTAATTCCTGCCACAGCCAACTGCATGTTCTTTTGTTAAAGGCTCAGTTGTGGTGAAATAATAATAATAATAAAAAAAAAAAGCTTCTATTCCTCAGTCAAGCGAAGGTTTAGAACCAGGCTTCCTGCAGCTTTATTCTTTTCTGGAGCATAGTCAATACTGATGCTCCTTTCCAACCCCAGAAACCTACAACTTCCATTTCCTCTTAATTTGCTATTAGCAAAAGGATCCTAAAGCTTTTTCTAGAAAAATTCTGACAAGGCTTACCTACTGGATTCCCTCTCCACAGCAGCCTCAGTTCTCAACTCAGGGATTAGTATATGCCCTAATAGTTTAAAGCTCTCCCTCACAAAGCTTTTCACTGCTAGTGGTAGGACATGAAAATCAGGTCTTGAGAGATGGAAAGTGGAAAGTGTGATTGGTTCCTTTCACTTAGAAACTTCCCTAGCCCTGGCCGTGTAGCTGAGTTCCGAGCCCTGCTGATAGGAGGCACGATAGTTATGACATCTTGAGGCTGTGCCCAAACAAGCACATGTTTTCAGTTTCCTTTTTCCAACAAGCCTCTGCAGCATTTCTCCTACTGCCGTGAGATCTCAGCCAGAGATATTTTAGATACTGGGAACTTCATGTAAGCCAAAACCTCTTCTTTTGTTTCCTGTTAACACTAGGCAGTTCACAGTCTAAGAGACAAAACCAGGCCAATGCACACATTTGGGAAATGCCAGGCTTGATTTGAACTCCCTGCTAGGCTGGCTCTGAAAGTGGGGTTGTTCTCCTGCCACTTTAGACCCCAGCATGTTTGTCTCAAAGGTTTCTTATCTGGGTGTATCTAGTCTCCCGCCTCCAACTCAGTGTGACAGGGAGGACAAAACAGCCCAAGAATAAAAATGTGGTGTTCTTAAAAACAACCAGGTCAAGTATTTCCAACAGATTTTTATCCATGACATTTAAGGGTCAACCAAATGAAAGAGAATCCAGACGTTCAGCCATGGAGAGAAAGTTAGCTGCCTTAACTTCCTGGGTTGATTTCTGCTGGGTGTTCTAAGCATCCGGTTTGATGAAGTTTTCTCTTACTGGCACTATTTGTTCCTTATTTGGAAACCTCACTGAAGTTCTGCTTTGCCCAGGACTCTCTTTATTGGAAACTTCAAATGACTGCCCTAAAGGGGCTTCCCCAGCCTATATCTGCTTAGTGTCTTGACTTTCCATTTGGATGATGCTTTACCACCTCACTGTTGTTTTTTATTTTATTTTTACTTTTATGTATTTAATAACTTACTCATTCAAAACTGAAAATGCATTTATCACAGCTCATTCTCTGGACCATACAGTTGTCTTATGTTATTACTAACTGCATTGTTTTCATTATTCTACTTTATGATTAATGGTTGTTGGTAATCTCTTATTATACCAAGTTTATGCATTAAACTTTACCTCATTGGTTGTAGGAATAGGACAAAATATAATTCTTTGTTGCATGTGATTTCAAACATCTACTGTGGATCTTAGAATGCATGATAAATGCAATTATATAAGAGACCGGAAGGAATTCCAGTCAAAGCTGAGGAAATATCCCAAGTATAAGGAACTAGATTAATAATATCATCAGACAGCAAGATGGAAAAGACAGAAAATCATATCACATAAAGCGATGAAAGTGGAGGAGGGAAACTGACCTGCCAGACAAAGGGAAGAGACTGTATTAGTAGAACTCAGAACTACAGCCTCAAAACTGGCAGTAAAAGATCCAGTAAAGCCAATAAAGTAACCAATTCTGCCTTAAGAGACCTGCACTTCTAGATTTCCATGGTCACAAACAGTAGTAAGACTGAAATTGTGTCTTTGGATGCTACTAGGAGAAAATGCTAAAATATGGGGGGCGGGGGAAGTGTTTTCATCCGTGTTCTATTCGGATGAAGAGACACCATGACTATGGCAACTCATATAGAACAAAACATTTCATTGGAGCTGGCTTACAGTTTCAGGGATTAGTTCATTATTGCCACGGCTGGGAGCATGGTGGCATGCAGGCATACATGGTGCTGGAGAAGTAGCTTAGAGTTCTATATCTACATCTGCAAGCAACAGGAAGAGAGTGCCAATGGGCCTGGCTTGGGCTTTTGAAACCTCAAACCTTACTCCCAGTGACATACCTTCTCCAACAAGACCTCCTAATCCTTCCCGATGAGTAAGCATTAGAATAGATGAGCCTATGGGGGCCATCCTTATTCTCTCTGCCACAGAGTGTCCTGGATATGTCTTTTAAAAAAAAGAAGAAGAGGAAAGAAAGAAGAAGAGAGAGAGAGAGAGAGAGAGAGAGAGAGAGAGAGAGAGGGAACAAAACAGGACTGGATTTGGCTATCAAGTTGCTTTTTTCTTACCTTAGTGAGAGTTGCTTCACAAATGAATGGGAACAATGGATGAGTGCCAGGGGAAAGGTTCTGGCTTATGGAGACTGTAGTTAATCAAAATATAGCTCTTAGGGAAAGGTAGGTCAGCACATACTGGGTGGGTGGCAGAAAGAGAAGTTCGTTTTTAATATGGTGGTGGCAGGTGTGTGTGTGTGTGTGTGTGTGTACATCTTAGACAGACAGTATGTGTACTAATTTGAAGGATGAAAGTCAACAAAAACTAAAGCAAAACTAAAGCCCAGAGATCAGAGCAAGGTCTCAGAGGCATTAAGAAGAGATGAAAGAAAGGATAGAGCAAGGATGAAAATCACCTCAGGGAAAAAGAAAAATCCATTCCCCTCTTAAGACAGAAGATGTAGGCGTATAGGAAAAATAATAACACACCAAGTTCAGCAAATATAGTTATTAGAGATGTTTGTCTCTACAACTGAGAAAGGACTTTCTCAGATAAGGAACGTTTTTCTCCAGGTGGGCAACAAGTCAAGTAAAGAGTGAGTATTGATCTTTCTCTAAATCGATGGGTGGTTCTTGGTACAATGAAGGTGGCAGAAGGTCAGAAGCACCATTCAGACTCAGAAGAGGGGAAAGTCAGCAAATTGAAACCATGTTCACCTCACCAGGCTTCTGGATTAGGACGACAGTTGAACACAGGCTTGAGTTTTGTAGATATACTCTCGCACACCCCACACAATACCCTACTTCATTTTCTTTCTAGTATTTTATTTTTCTACGAAAGACTTCCAACTTAAATGTGAAGCTACAAAGTAGTGGACATTCATATACCTATCATATAGAAAAAAAAAGAAATGTTAACACATTCCTTATTTGCTGATATTATGTATATTCGTAGGTCTCTGTATAAATTTATTATTACATGATAGAATCTGGGTTAGGTCTCATAATATTTAGCAATAGTCTATATTTTTGCTATGAAGAATGATTTCTGATGCTCATTTAGTACCTTATCACCCCCAGAAATATTAAAACAATAAAAAAATGTCACCTGAGGTCACCCAAAACCGAGGACGTACTCAAATTTCCCAGGTTGAGCATCAAGTGCTTTTCTGGTGTTCTTTTTAAAACTACAATCCAATCAAGGCTAAGAAATTACATTTATTTTTATTTATTTAGGGTGTATACATGTACATGTTTTTGCATACACATACATATATGCATGTGTGTGTGTATGTGTGTATGTGTGTATGTAGAAGCCAAAGATCAGTGATGAGCTTTTTTTGTTAGTTATTCTCCATCTTATTCTTTAACACAGGAATTCAACTCTCATGGAACTTCGAGTTCCCTGGTTCAGCTAGACCATTTAGCCATAGAGCTTCTGGGATCTACTTATCACAGAACCATGCTCCAAGAGCTAGGGCTATAGACACGTGCTGCCGTGCCCAGCATTTTATGTGTGTGCTGGAGATCTGAGTGCAGTTCCTTATGCTTGCACAGCTAGCACTGGGCTGTCTCCCCAACCCCGACACACAGTGCAGTTTTTGCATCCTTTGTTAATTTTAAAGTAGAACAGTACAAACCACATACTGCTTTTTCAATCCCACAACAGGGGCATTGTAAAACCTTAAACAGCAGCCTTATAAAATTAGCACATTCCCCTTTTGTTTTCCTGTACTCATACATGCATGTTGGTGTAATGGTCTGGATTAAGCACAGATGAAACATTTCAAATAAAGTACTCTCAAGGGATGTATCAAAGTACTGGATTGTACTCTTTTAAAAAAATGTACCAATAGTGTATCAATTAAAAATCATAAAGGAATAAAAAACA